TTATAAATCATTGGCATCATCAACAATAATAGCTTCTTCTTCCTCCTCCTCATCAGCACTCTCTTGGTCATCATCCTCGCAGCCTGAGTCATCACAGCTGTATGGATTTGCTGCCAGGCGTTTCTTGTGCCGGGTTAACCAGGCGTGCAGGGCAAATACATCCAGCTGATCTAACGGACTTTTTGAAATGGAAGGAAAGCTGTTAATGTTTCTTCCTGGTTGAAAATCAAATGTCTTTTGTCCACTTATAATGTTGATCATTCCTCTGACATCATCGCAGGTGCATGCATGAGTGTGACTTGTAGACTCTGGGGCAATGTTACTGACTTTGTCATACTGCTTTACTATTTCATTCAAAAGAAAACTTGATGCTGTTGACCTCTGAACTGCTTTGAGTGTTTTGTTCCCACACATTCCTTTTAGGATACCTTTATCATTCCTTACTATGTGCTCCATTTTTAAATCATTGGCATAGTTGTTTCCTTTTCCACCTTTTGCATTTACAAACTGGCCATGAAGAATACGATGAGCCATTCTTTCACTGTATATAAAGCCCTTAACAAACGTTATAAAACGCATGGACTCAAAAGCATACTTCATACCTCGTGTTCGGGACCTGAAATAAAGCATTAGCATTTTCCACTTCCTTAAACTCCTCTCTCCATCGCCCTCCGCCTCAGTGTCATTCAGCTGCATCAAGAACACTCCCAATTGCAAGACTTGCAGTCCATAGTTCATTCTACGATCTTCTGTGGAACTAGTAGGAATGCTGGAGACGGGGGATATGATTTCTGCTGGGACTGGTTCTTTTTGAGCTTGTTCTCCATACACTGCAACCAGGGTCTTTGGCCATAAGACCACCTGACCAACAGAGAGAAGATGAGCTGCTTTTGGTTGAACAAAAGCAACCAAAACGGGCACCAAATCTGACGTGGCTACTCCCGATACTTTCCCAACAGCTAGTACATCATAACTGCTTTGTCCCTCCACTGACTGTACCAAAACAACCACTTGCCCTTGGAGAAGGAAATTGAAAGGCAAACTTAAGCTTCTATTTATTAATTTATGTTTATATAATATAAGAATAATTGAGTTGGTATTCATTTTATCAAACATAATATTATGAGAGATAGAATATAGCTGATTAACTTAATAAATTATTTAATTTGCTCAGCCTTAATTATAAAAGAAAACTGTGCATTAATCATTTTAAAATAATTTATTGCTTACCACAAGAAAATGCAAAACAAATTAAGACGGAATCCACCATGAAATTGAGTAATTTTAATTTTCAGTGGACAAAAAACTTGTACCAGATGAATAATTTGAAACATATTGCATTCCTTTTTACATTTTTCAAGACCTAAAGAGGTAATAAATCATTAATTGTAATAACACCAAAGAAAATTTCTTATGGGAGCCTGAGAAAATGAATGTCAAATTTCAAAAAAATACATCTTTCACATGAAATTTTCAGAGATTTACCTGTGTTTTCACAATTCTTGTGAAATTTCACATTATTTTCTCACACTCCCATGAGAAATTTTCTTTGGTGTTATTAGAGATGACTAATTACATCTTTAGGCGCCTTAAAAAATGTAAGAAAGAATGCAATATTCTGGTACAAGGTTTTTGTCCACTGAGAATTAAAATTACTCAATTTCCTGGTGGATTTGCAGTAAAATTGAAGAGGTGGTACTTGCTAGGGAGTATTTCTAAGTATTGTTATTAACTCCAGTGCTGGGAAAAAAAGTAACATTCTGTACATCTCACCAAGTGGTAGCACTGCCGAATGTACAGCCACAGAGGGATCTGCATGATCTGCATGTGGCATGGTAACTCTTCCAGCTGTTGGTAAATATTAACTTATTAGTGCAGTGTTATTGGAAACTGTAACTTATGCTTAACTGATCTACATATATTCATAACGACGATTACAGCTACGAAACAAAGGAAATTGAGAATCACCTTAAGTTAAATCAAAATTTAACAAGAAATCAATTTGAGCTGTAACATTACACACTGATACCAATTTGTGCTTTATATACTACTTAATTACCAGCTTGTTGTGATACTGTATTAACAGCAACACGGAGTTGCAGTAATGGCTGTTGGACTGCAACTCTTCCACCTGCTGGAAAATAAGCAATTTATCTGGGGCTAATTAAGTATGTAAGTTACTATTAGGTTGATATACGTTGAGTGTAGAATACCAGGCTGTACACACTTACCCGTTTGTTGTGACATTGTGTTAACAGTAGCACAGGGTTGCAGTAATGGCTGGTGGACTGCAACTCTTCCACCTGCTGGAAAATAACCAATTTATCCAGGGATAATTAAATCTGTATAAGTTACTACTAGCTATAGGTTGATATGTGTTGTAGATAATTTTTTGTCTCAGTTAATTTTGTTTTCTAACTAGTTAATTTTTTTCTAACTAGTTAGTTTTTTTCTAGCTAGTTTATTTTTTTCTAACTAGGTAAAAAATAATTTAACTAGTTACTAGGTCTAAGATTATGGCTATTAACTAATACCAAGTGCTGTGTACACGCACTTACTGGTTTGTTGTGACACTGTATTAACAGAATTACGGGGTTGCAGTAATAGCTGTTGGACTGTACCTCTTCCACCTGCTGGAAAATAAGCAATTTATCCAGGGTTAATTAAGTCTGTCTGTTACTAGGACTAAGATTGTGGCTATTAACTAATACCAAGTGCTGTGTACATGCACTTACTGGTTTGTTGTGACACTGTATTAACAGTAGCACGGGGTTGCAGTAATGGCTGTTGGACTGTACCTCTTCCACATGCTGGAAAATAAGCAATTTATCCAGGGTTAATTAAGTCTGTAAGTTACTAGGTCTAAGATTATATCTATTAACTGATACTGAGTGCTGTAACACAATACCGGTTTGTTGTGACACTGTATTAACAGCAGCATGGGGTTGCAGTAATGGCTGTTGGACTGCTCCTCTTCCACCTGCTGGAAGATAAGCAAATTATCCAGGTCAATTAAGTTTGTAAGTTACTAGGTCTAAGATTATGGCTATTAACTAATACCAAGTGCTGTGTACATGCACTTACTGGTTTGTTGTGACACTGTATTAACAGAATTATGGGGTTGCAGTAATGGCTGTTGGACTGTACCTCTTCCACGTGCTGGAAAATAAGCAATTTATCCAGGGTTAATTAAGTCTGTCCGTTACTAGGACTAAGATTGCGGCTATTAACTAATACCAAGTGCTGTGAACATGCACTTACTGGTTTGTTGTGACACTGTATTAACAATAGCACGGGGTTGCAGTAATGGCTGTTGGACTGTACCTCTTCCACGTGCTGGAAAATAAGCAATTCATCCAGGGTTAATTAAGTCTGTAAGTTACTAGGTCTAAGATTATGGCTATTAACTAATACCAAGTGCTGTGTACATGCACTTACTGGTTGTTGTGACACTGTATTAACAGAATTACGGGGTTGCAGTAATGGCTGTTGGACTGTACCTCTTCCACGTGCCGGAAGATTAGCATTTATCCAGGGTTAATTAAGTCTGTATAAGTTACTACTAGGTTGATATACATTGACGGTACAATACCAGGCTGTAACACTTACCGGTTTGTTGTGACACTGTGTTAACAGCAGCACGGGGTCGCAGTAATGGCTGTTGGACTGCTCCTCTTCCACCTGCTGGAAGATAAGCAATTTGTCCAGGGTTAATTATGTCTGTACGTTACTAACTAGGTTGATATACATTAAGTGTACAATACAAGGCAGTTTGTTGTGTTATTGTATTAACAGCTGCACGGGGTTGCAGTAATGGCTGTTGGACTGCACCTCTTGAAACAATGACTATTATTATAACTTCCAATTTTAATGAAAAAAAAAAAGAATCATTTTACTTGATAATAAATTTTCAGGTCTGAGAAAAAGATCTTGAAGTTGCTGATTAATTATCAGGTTTTTTTCTTAGTTTGTTTTCTTTTCAACAAGTAGCTCAGGGGGTCATATGCTTTTAGTCAAAGGAATTTAACCCCCATCCCCAGCCCTTTGTATAGTACAGACTGCCATGCATTCTAATATCATGTTACCTATAGGAGTGAACTCTAAGGGCTACAAACCAAAGTTAAATTAACTTTTTGCCTTACATGAACCAAGACTCTGGCTTGTGAGTACTGCTGCAGATAGGGGTGTTCTTTGTTGCTCTTGGCACTCTTGGCTAGCTTCCTTCCAAGCTCTCTCAACATCAAATTCAACAAGCACAAATTCATCGACAAACTTTCCTATATGCTTGTGAAGAAAATCTTCCTTCACTTCAGCAGAGTCAGTCTCAGATGGAAGTTTTGGCAAGTTGACTGGTTTATCATCAAGCGTCTGAAGACCAGCCCATTTCATAAAAGCAGAACACAAATACGCCTTGGTTGTAGACAACATGAGGCTTTCAGCACTCTTGTAGTTTTTTTGTACTTTGTTAGAGACATTGACCAATCTAAAATGTTGCCTCAGGTGATAAAGTGTACCAATGTCTCTTCCACCAATGGATGTGTTGTTGTACAGTTGCTCCCAAACATACTAAAGTCAATTTAAAAATAGGGTTAAACACTTTAAAGCACTAAACCTCAACTTGAAACTCAGCAACAAAATGCGATGAGGAAGTTCACAATCATCATTCAATGTCATCAGATCAGGATTCTGCTTAGTACTGTGCTCGGTCTATCTCATTTTAGTTAGGAAATATAAACATCACTTCAGACACCTTTTTCATACGTTCAAGGCACAGTTCTACATGTAATGGCCACCTCAAAACACAAAGCCTTAGAAGTTTTTTTGGCAAATCTTTGCTGCTATGTGGAGTTTACATAAATGATTAAAATCTGTAATTTTAGGAACCGGATATCGTTCAAGTATTTGGTAACTTGAGTAAACTTTATACCCATTAATCTAATTTATACCCATTAGGTCTTTAGAATCATTTTTTGCCCTCAACATCAACAAAAGAAAAAATTGTTATAAAATTATAGTCTATAAGAAAATGGTTCGTTCTTGTATCAAATTCTCTTGACTAATTCTGTAACACTTTAAGCCCCAAAATCCACATATAACTTCTCCAAACTAATCGCCATAAATTTCCTTACAAAATTAATATACCAGTAGCTATATAGTTGAGAGAATTTGTTCAAAGATCAAAACAGTTCCCTTATATATTAGGTGATCATTTTATTTATTCTCATAAACTTTTCTTTAATTCTGTATTGATATTGTTAGGAGAAAATTGATGTTGGTCACTCTTGGGACTTAAGGGTTTTAGAGGGTGATATTAAAGTCTTATAGAGCAGACTTACAGAGAGAAATGATTGCTTTGCATGCCAAAGGGCTGGACACTCCACGATGTTGTCAAAGCGTTCAACAGAACTATCACACCTTAAACGAGTCTTCTTTGCACTGGTCACCCTTTCTCGACCAAGAAGATCACCTGCCAATGGTACTCTGATTTTTTCCAAAACCATCTCAGAGCTAGCAGCATGCTGGTTTTGACTAGCACTGCTATCAGCTGCAGGAGATTCATCCTGTTTATGCATGACATTATTTGGCATGTCACATTTATTGAATGTTTTTAGGGTAAATTTTAATCCTTTGAAACAAACTGGAAATAAAAAACCTACAGAAATGAATAACAAGGCTTGCAGGTTATGAAAAAAATTGTTGACACCATGGAACAAAAACCCAACAAACTTAATACTCAACACAACAACTTACCCCCTCCTCTATACACCATCTCCTTTCCTCCCCAACAAATAATATTATTGTCCTTTTTAAGAGTGCTCAGCCTAACTTAAAGTGAACATTAAACCAATTTGCCTAATATATGTTACATTAACAACACACTTCAGGAAAAATGTTGCTTGAGTTATTTTGAACCCACAGTGGAAGACCCACAGTGTGGAAGTTCAACTGTAATCTGCGTCCCATTGAGTTATACACACTCTATTATGTTTTGATAATGTATGGCAGTTGCTTCAGGCAGTGGAAATTAGCTAGTCAAGCTCAGCAATAATATTGTCATTATTACCTGAGTTGTTAAAACTTTAGAGAAAAAATCCTCTAGCCACTGCAGGTATTGACAAACATCCCCAACTTTACTTTGATTAAAGGGAACTACTGGCAGCCCCACAACACAAGACTTTCCAGCCATCTGACTTGAGTATCTTAAAACAAAGAATCAGCAGTTTACATGGACTAGACTTCATTATAGCAACTGAGAATAAAATATGGACTACACTGAGCCTAGCAGCTGTGTATAAAACACATACTAGCTATTTTAAAGCAGACTATGGCCCAGGGAAAGGTAGTGATAACATACAAAATACTGTAAAGAAACATAAATCCACACAAGGCTGTTACCAAGAAAGGGAGGGCGGGGATTGTCCCTGACTATCATGAGAATAAAAAAAGTATAACCAGTTGAAAAAGAACTTAATTCCATAGCTGGGAATTCAATTCACAGCCGATCCCGTACGAAACGCGCAGCGCTGTTGCAGCGCTGCAGAATGGCTTCAAGAAGCGCTGCAGAATAGCTGCAAAGAGGCTGGCTGCAGCAGTCGCAAATTTTGGCTGTTCGGCGCAGCGCTATGAAGTCGTTTGAAAGCGATAAGCAGCGGTTTAGCAGCGGTGGAAAGGACACACAAAAACGCTGTCAGCGCTGCCAAATAGCTGCAAACGTGTACAAAAATTCAAAGAATTATGGCATTTGCCTAAACCGGCTTAGTAGCAGAGTAAAAACCACTACAAAAGTCAAAATGCAACTTATACTTTATTAGTATCCACGCGTACACGTTACAAAAGCACGTGACATAGAACAAATTTGCAACAGTCTCGCTTTGTAAATATTTAGCAATCACGGTCACTCATCTGAATGTAAGAACGTCCATTAACATGCAGACATTGAAAATTATCTTTTTTAAAAATAAAGAGAACAACATCGATTGTTCTACATAAAGTTTACATGCACGGCCATTACCCTTGCGAAATGAATTCCCAGCTTTCTGGGAATTCCTAGGAATTCTTGAGAATTCCTAGGAATTCCCAAAAATTCCCAACTATGCAAATCAGCCTTCATCAAATAAGCTTGGAATTCTTGAGAATTTTTAGGAATGGCAAATTAGGTCTCACTCTAGGCTTGGAATTCCTAGGAATTCCTAGGAATTCTAAGTTTTACAATTTTAGAAGCTTAAGAATTGTTGAGAATTTCTGGGAATAGAAAAATTCAGGCCAACTGGGCTTGGAATTCCTGGAAATTCCTAGGAATTCTAAGTTATGCAAATTAGGAATTCAGCTCAGGGATGTTTAAAAATCCAAACGACTTTAAAAATTGTCAAAGATTTCGTAGTCTTTTCTTATTTTTTCACATTTTAATTTTAAGTGATTGCACTGAAACAATTCTAAACTGATAATACAGAACATACTGGTAATGTATACTTCTATACTTACATTTTTATATTCAACCCAATTTTTTTACCTAATCTGGTAATGCTAACATGTGGCGAATGCTGTTCACAAACCTCCAACCAGTATTTAAATTAAGATAACAATCTAACTTACCGGTATCTAAATTACATTATTACAGCATATTACAGCAATAAATATTTAAAGCTGTTACATGTCCAGTACACTTTCAGTGCAAAATGTTGTCTGAAATGAGAAGTCTCGTTTTTAAAAATATGAAGTGCATATCCAGTCTGAAATGTACGTTGTTTATCCACATACTCCACGAAGATTAGGCAAACGCACAAGACATGGGCTGTCTTGATTCCCTTCAACCCTTGCATCAGGAGTGCAGTCAAAAGCATGGCAAGCCCGGCCAAGCCCGGAACAACGGCCACAACACGTTTTTCATCGCAGTTCTTTGATTGATAATGTGGTCCAACATTTCTTTCCCAACTTAAAAGAACAACGTTAAGTTTACCTCTTGCTTTTAACACTTCAAATGCGTTGCTTCATCTTAATTAACGCTGAAAATAACTGCTATTTCGACCCAAACGGGAGCACGTCGCAAGATTAGCCGCCATGTTTTCTTGTTTCCCAGGCTTCCACGCGTGCCTTTGGCACATGCGCGATTTGATTTACTTTGTCACGTGCGACTTTTGAACCAATAGAAAAGTGCCAAATGAACTTCCGTTGAATAGTTCAAATTCACGCGGACTTCACAAGCAACAAAGTATTTTCGTAAGACTGTCTTTCTATTATCCATGTTATTTTCGAGACAAATTGATCAATTGCGAAGTTTGTGTTCACATAAAGCATGTTTGCAAGTGAGTTTACTCAGCTGGATTAATGTGGAAAGGTATGTTTTCTAATAACTTTGCGTAAATAAGCTTATAAAGTTCAAAGATGCATGCAAAGATATGCCATTGATCAGATCTCTTTTTGCTGCTTTTTTTTTACTGCAGATCGAAATAACTGTACTCTTTGTTGCAAATAGTCAGTGGAATACTCTGAAAACTGTATGTTCTGGCGCTACAAGGTTATAGCAGACTTGTCAAGACCAATGTTAGATAAAATAGGAGAAGAAATAGCATAATAAGTATAAGTTTCCAATGGCTACTTATACAAGTTAGAAGCAATGTAATTTCCAGTTAATTTATAAGGACTTGAGACTTGAACTTACATATAAAATATTAGAATACAGCCGGTAGGTTTGTTCATTTGAACTCTAATTCATAGTATAAGTTGCATAAGGTTTTATATTAAATGCTTCTGGTACATTGTAATCTTAATAATCGCTGCAATTAAGTTAGGTCAGCACTAGCACTTGTCTGATGTGTGGTCCTTCAGTTCAGAAGGCTGCATCGGCAACATTGGAAAAAGCAGTCATTTAGCTTTTTTTCATATTCATGCACTGTATTAATTATTCGAAGATGTTTATTTACATGCATGTATGTGGAATGTGGTGATGTGTATGTTGGGTAAAATAAATTACAAAAAAGAGAATGTTCAGCTATGTTGTCATTTGTGGATTAAAAACGAACACTATCTAGAGATTCCACCAACAGGGTATGTTTTTATATTTTTTTTCAATCATGACTAGGTATATGTTACTTTACATTATCTCACTATCTAGAGATTCCACCTGAACAGGTTATGTTTTACTTTTTTTTTTTCAATCATGACTATAGCGATAGTTTACTTTACACTACATGTATATCTATGTGTAAGTATATCTATATCTAAGTTTATTCATATGTATATAAGGACTACAGTCATTATACTGAATTATTTGGTTCCTACTTGACAAAAAGTCATTGTCTTAAATTTGATTTTTTGAGGTCACTTTTGTAATTTTTGGAACATTTAAACGATCAGTGCAGTGAAATTTTTAAGTCAAGTTAAAGCAGAAGTATTTTTTGTTAACACGGAGAGCTATTTTTCAGTCATTGCTGGAATAAACATTGTTGCAGTTTTTGTACATTTGCCTTATGGATTTCTGGTTTGGAGAGCAAAATAGCAACTTCTAGTACTAACTTCCTTAACATAAGGGTTTAAATGCAAATCAGTTTTTGATTCGAATATCCCTTAATTCCGGCAGCAGGTCGATTTGTTACATCCCTATTGACCTAGCTATTCCAAGGAATTCCTAAGAAGTAATCATTCTGTTTATATTCTTTCAATTCCTAGGAATTCCTAAGAATTCCTAGGAATATTTTCCAAGCAAACTGATCGGTGAGCAAAGCTTGGAATTCCTAGGAATTCTTAGGAATTCCATGTTCCAATTACCGTGAAATTTCACACCTTGATTCCTAGGAATTCTTAAGAATTCCTAAGAATTCCTAAGAATTTATTCTTAGGAATTCTTAGGAAAATCCTAGGAATTCCTAGGAATTCTCAATTCCATTTCGCAAGGGTAGGCAAATGATATTTTGATTCGTTGCCGGGAGAGTTGAAAAAACTGACCCCCACTCCGCGGACTACCCACTGACCCCACTCCGCGGACTACTCTACGGACTACTCCGCGGACTACCCTGCGGACTACCCTAACTAATCAACCAAATTTACTTTCACGGAGAAAAGAGTTAGAAGAAGCATACCTGCCTACACGATGACACTTGATAAACAGCCGCCATCTTGATTTTCGCCATTTTACTCGACCCAGCCCTTCTTCTTCATTGCTACGTCCATTGCAGCTTCCGTTCTTGGATCGTCACGCAACGCTTCTCTCCAAACCTCGCGTGACGATCCAAATAACGACTGCGTGCCCTACGTAGGAGAATACGTCTCCAAGGGCCTTCTGGGCCAGGTGAATCCAAAAATATGGTGACTTCCAAGCACGGCTATAAGTAAGTTCTTAAAAACATTTTTAAGCTGAATATAACAAAAACTGTTACCAGCGCCAATAGTGGTCATCGATTGGCTGATCTATATGAAATATAAACTATCAGTGGCTGGCATGACGTCAATGATGTCTTTCATTGATTATGCTGGCGAGAAGTATGCAAGCAGACCCACGGATCAACCTTCAACACTCTTTTATTTTTTTTTAAATTTTAAAGCCATTTATGACTAAAACTATTTAATGGAAAATGAAACTTATAGGACAAGTCACAAGATGTTGCTTAACTCATGACTTCAACCTTGAATCTTGAACTGTCTTCTATGTATACGCACCCACCTATGTATACATACCCACCCAAAAAATACCCAAGTGCCCCCCCCCCGGGTGTATACGTTGTAGTTCAATTTTATCTTTGGTTCAATTTTCAATTTCCTTTGTTTAAAATTCATTATCATATATTAACATAGAAAAGAACAATGGGCACGCAGTCGTTATTTGGATCGTCACGCGAGGTTTGGAGAGAAGCGTTGCGTGACGATCCAAGAACGGAAGCTGAAATGGACGTAGCAATGAAGAAGAAGGGCTGGGTCGAGTAAAATGGCGAAAATCAAGATGACGGCTGTTTATCAAGTGTCATCGTGTAGGCAGGTACGCTTCTTCTAACTCTTTTCTCCGTGAAAGTAAATTTGGTTGATTAGTTAGGGTAGTCCGCAGGGTAGTCCGCGGACTAGTCCGTAGAGTAGTCCGCGGAGTAGTCTGTAGAGTAGTCCGCGGAGTGGGGTCAGTGGGTAGTCCGCGGAGTGGGGGTCAGTTTTTTCAACTCTCCCTTCGTTGCAACGGGCTAAGCTGGACATTGCTCACCTTGACGTTTCGTCCATGATCCACGATCTTCTACACTTTTTTCATGAAAGAAATCAACCCAATTTTACTTTGGTCGTCGTTAAATTTTACAATGGACTAAGGAACGAACATTACCACGAGCGTATAAGAATCTTGTAAGTGCGAACCCCATCTGAGATTCTTGTATCTGTGTTGCTTGCTCTGGTTCGATTCGTCGATACTTAGCGTAGAAGTCACTGTTCAGTGCAATGTTTGCAAATACGTTTGAGCTGTTCCATCCAAAAACTTCAACAGAACTTCCATCTCGAAACAGAACTAGATGCAAAAAAACTTAGAATGTTTGCGCCTTTCATTCAACGGTCGCAAATGTTCTGTGTTTGTCTAGAGATGTAATGGGATCTCATGCAAAAGGACCGACCAATTAGATTACGGCCTAGAATGTCTCCAGGGAATTAGCGATACCATTCCCACACTCGCCGGTCACGGAATGAAATTTATTGAAATCTTTATTCCGAAAGCATAGGATTTGGAGGTTTATTCAATAAGTGATCTTCTTTGCGCACAAGCTTACTCACATTTCTTAGAGGTACAGTCAAAGTTTTCGCGTTATAAAAGCCGTAATCTGTGCCAAGGCTTTATCTGGCGATTCATGTTTTTGGCGCTCAAGAAAGTCAGATCGACCGCAGCTGAATTGTAGCGTTACTGCAGCTACTTCGCAGCGTTTGAAAGTCGGCAACTGCGCTGCAAAACCGCTGCCGAGAGCTTCAAAGAGCCTTCAAAGGCTGCACAGCGCTTTTGCATCCCGCTGCAACTTGAATGAAGCTGCTGTTTGGCTTCTAAAAGGCTGCTGAACAGCTGTAATTTAGCTGCACAGCTATTTTGCAGCGATTTTGTGGCGCTGTACAGCGCTGCAAGTTTCGTACGGGATTACACATGGCAACTCAAATCATAGTGTCAGCCGCCTGGTCCATATATATGTTATGCGTGACTAGTTATTGCTGTATACAATGGCTTCTTTTTTTATTCAGAAAAATTAATATCTATTAATAAATCCCATAGAAAGCATTATTTTTGATGAGATACCCTTCCCCTGTGCCCATCTAGAAGTTAAAGTCTAGGCTTTTAACTTCAATGCCTTTACAAAATTTTGGTCTCCCTCTGATTATGAATAATATTAACCCTCTGTGAAAAAGGGTAGTTTATGAATCATTTCTGGAACCACAAAATGAATACAGAGTATATAATAATGTTTAAAAATATTATATTACCTGTGTAAAATATGAGAAGGAACAACATCACGGAGAGGCCCTAGTGATGGAAAGAACTCAAGGAGAACTCTGGCAACAAGGATAATATAATCATTTCTCTGCCACTCCAGTTCATCTTTGCTCATGAGGTAATTGATGTTGTCAAAGTCTTTACAGTCAAACCAGGTCAAGCGTTCCCGTCGCTAACAAACTAATGAATTCATTAATGGAAAAATAATTTCGTTTGTTGATTCAATAATCCATTCATAAAATGAATAATCCAACAGTCAAATTGGACCTCGATTCAATAATCAAATGTTGATTTGGTTTATGAGCAAAATCTACCTGTTCTTTATTCTTGTCTGTTGTGTTCAATCGTATTTGCTTCCTTTTTCCTGCCGTTTACGATTGCGTTTTTCATTGCCTTTAATCAAAATAACAGCTAGAATAGACAGACCGCAAACGCAAAGAAACTATGAGAAACTGACAAAGGCCGAGGATCGAAATCCACCAATCACCGCACATACACTGACCTTAGTTTGACCGTTGTGTTTTCTAAGAGGTCAGGCCTGGGTCTGTTGCACTGATTACTGGCAGCAAACTGGCGTACATGTAACAGTTTGTTTGGGTTTGAACTTCAGAACTCGCCGGCACTCGACTCTCAGAAAAAAAAGAGGAAAAAACAAAATTCTGAGGTCAACTTGTGGAAAGTGTAGTTTTTCAAAAAACAGTAATCGAATCAACATTCGATTATGGAATCGAGGCTAAATATGAATATTGGATTGTTCATTTTATGAATGGATTATTGAATCAACAAACGAAATCATTTTTCCGTGAATGAATTCATTAGTTCGTTAGCGACGGGAACGCTTGACCTGGTTTGACTGTAATGTCTGAAACGATCGGCTTTGAATCATCTAGGTGTCTGGATGATACTCTCTCAAATGTAACATAATGGGCAATCCAGTGCATGTCAGAGTTTCGGTGATTTCTAAGGATAATATTTGCAAGGATTCTAAAATCCAAGTTGTCAAATACAACCCTCAAGTCCTGACCTGATTCGACATGTGCTTTAACAACTGAGGCTAGGTTAGAACCAAGGCTATCCATGATATTTCTGAGAGTTTCCCTGGATTGTGCAATACATGACTTGTTCATTCTCTCGAAGGTCTTCATGTAAGTGAAAGAGAAGAGAAATTTTGAGTTAATTGTTAGGTTGCAAAATTATGCCGCTAAATATACTAAAATATATTAAGATAAATTTCACCAAGAGAAACAGCATATAACATTCTTCACTTTAGAATTTTATAACGACTTATCAATTATTTTTTAAATCATGTGCAGTTTCTTAAAAATTTTTCACCTTAAATAGAGAATCATAAAAGTTTTAGTGCTAGTATAAAGAATATACAACAAATTATGTTGTATCAGATTATTTATAATATTTTTATTTATAGCACCACACAACTGTAAAAAGTGAAGTTAACTAGTAAATATTTACTCTTTTTGTAGCATTTCCAACAGCTAGAACAACGGCATTGATTTTTTGTACGAGTGATAGCTCCCGGCACCTAACATTCATCAGTATGCCATATGCTGTGCAGAGGGGTATGACTTGACGCCCATCATTACCCTTTAGCTTCGGAATGGCCATGGCAACCAAGAAGTCCAAAACATCTGGGGCTCGTTCCTCCATCTCCTTCAAAATAGCCTCCCATTTGAATTCTACAAGATTCTTATGCTGCGCACTGGGTACACGGAGGACTGATGGTTCTGCAGTTGTTCTTAAACAAAGTCTGGAACACTGCTCATCAACTAACTTTAGATATAAACCTTTAACAGCATTTCTCAAAGAGGGAATTTTCATAACAGCTTCAGCAAGAATATATGAATTTGAGGTGTTAGCTGCAGCTATAATTTCTTCACTCTCCTCTGGACCCATAGTCCTTATCCTAGATGAGAGCTAGTGATAAACATGAAAGATTGCTCAGTGGAATTTTAATACATCATAAGAAGATGACATAATATTTTAAAATAAGCAATTGAGAAAACTAACCTGTTGAAATGATCAATAACTAATATACAGTAAAAACCTGCGAGTAAGAACTTAAATTTTCTGGAGTTAGTCTAAACAGGTTCTTATTTAAATGGTAGTTAACACAATTTTAGGCTATTTAGGTTCTTAAATAGGTTCTTATTTCTGTAAACAAAAAAAAAACAAGCTACAAAACAAGATGGTAATTAATCAGCCTCTTTTTCAATTTCAAAATGCGATACAACAATATTAACCTCTTGGACTTTATTTTTTATTACATCAATAAATTTGCACTTTTGTTTTGCACAGCAATGCCAAGCTCCTAATTCTCCTAACAGGATTCTTGCACAGCTTTACAGCTGCATTTCACTAATATGATTTTTAAAAAGAAGAACCTGTTTTTCGTTTTCTAGGCTAAACAGGTTCTTGTTTGTAGGGGGTATAAATGGCAAATTTTAGGCTAACAGGTTCTTAATTTTCAGGTTCTTACTCGTGGGTTTTTACTCTACAATACATAACCCACTGTGTTCAGGTTTATCTCAACCTTGCAGTGTTCCTTACCTTGTCTCTAAGTAATCCAGTTTGATAGGACAAATAAAAGCAGATTATTTCAGTCAATTATAAACAATATTGAATTAACTCAAAGTATTTACCGATCCAAAAGAATCATAAATCTTTCCTAATAAAATATTCAACTTTACTTACCTGCCTTACTGTTTAACTGTACCCTCACCATAACAGGTCTTAAAGAACCAAACACCAAAAATCTCAGCATACTGACAAAGGTATGCATTCTTTATATCACAACCTCAGCTGTACTTGCCATTTAAAATTAGTAAAACAACAACATAAGATATTATTCATTAGTATTTCATTTACACAATTTTTATTTACTCAAATTAACAGGTAAGCTTGTGGGGTCTTATATAACACAACATGCAAAACAGTAAAAATGTAATATGAATTAAATATTGGTGTAGACAACAATAGGAGCAAAGCCCCTTGTATTTGCATTTACCCTTATGTCAGATGCCTCGCTGACAACATTCAGTTGTTTTCTAAATGGCATTTAACATCCAAACCCGACTCAGGCGTTCATTGTAGTATTGCCATTTACTGCGTTCATGGCGTGTCAAGGTCAGACTGTTAGATTATAACAAAACAAACACAACGAGAGTTAACAATTTACTGTCAACTTTATTCCACAAATTATAATAAAAAGTAATACAATCAAACTTACTTATTCATGACAAAATGAAATTGGAAAACGTTCAATGATAAGCGAATTGTAAATTTCAGAACGAACCTCACAGTTACGAAGGCCGGTCTTTGCAAGTATTGGTACTTCCTGGCTTGGCTCAACAACTGGAGCTGGCTGTAGTGGCTTTGGCAGGATTCTAACTTGCTTTTGAACAAGTGCTTCATCACTATCTCTGCCGGGTAAAGTGGGAGTAATCCCCGGCACCATCTGCAAGCTCTTCCTCATATAAACAGACGATGACGACCCACGCTGGGTTGTAGTGTCCGCTTTTCCTCGTTTGGCTTCCCGTAGCTCTGCTGTAGACGGACTCTCTGTCACCTTCTTACCCCGTTTTAACCTCACCGATGCCTCTTGCTTTGCTCAAGACTTGATACACAAATCCCGAAATTCGGAAAATTGTCTTACACGGTTAAAACAGTTCCTACAAATATACGTAGGTAATTCGTCACCCGCAACAAAAGTAAGCCCTGTAATTATCTCTAAATTGCTTAGGAGTTTTTTCAGCCTTTGCTTTTTCTCCAAATAAATCAATCGGATTGCTTTTGACATCTGAATTACAACATCTGCAAATGCGTTCACGACCTGGTAGAGTCTTCACTGGAGTTTTGTCCGCCATTTTGAAAACTCTAAATCTACTGCTCATGCTCACACGTTCAGCCAATGAAAACTCGAGTTAAAACGGACTATCCCAGAGGTCCCCGTTGCCCGTTCAGGTTGACAAAGCAACGCGGACTCTGGGAACGAGATTGCAGGTCCTGCTAAGGGGTACTATTTCCTTAGATAATACAGGCCAAAAGGACAAGGCATTTTTTTATGAAAAAAAGGCATTCCTGTTTAGTTACCCTGGCCTCTTAGAAACCTAAAGAATCACCGTTTAACATTAAAAAACCCAGATATGATATACCGCCTAACAAATGTTGCTAAAACTCAGGATGTTCCGTTGGACGGTACTATTTTCTTCGGTAATACCGGCCAAAAGGACAAGGCCACTTTTATGAATAAAAATATTACTATAGAGTTATCCTAAGCTTGTAGAAACCTACAGAAATCAAGTTCTACAACACAGTTTAACAAAGAAAGCTAGAGGTGATGTACATGCCAACAAATGTTGCCATGATTTAGGATGTCCCGTTGGACGGTACTATTTTCTTCGGTAATGCCGGCCAGCGGGACAAGACAAATTGACAAGACATTTATAAAAGGATTGCTCACTATACAGGACCAAGAACTCTTCAAAAGTCACAATAAACGCAAACTTGGTCAACAATACCGTAAAATCACGCTTCTCTGGCGATAAAACGGCTTCTTTGGCTGTCAGTTTTCCACCACGCCTGAGCCGCCATATTGAGAAAATATTCGAGAATTTCCGAAGTCGGCCCGAATCGGAAACTCGTTCCTAGTACTCCTCGGCTGTCCTTTTGGACAGTATGATTTAGGCACAACCCGTCACAAGACGAGTTTTTCAGAAACGGTGATGAGCGAACTTACATGTAATTTATAGACTTCTTCACAAAGTTCGAATTCCCGTATTCAGCTAGTCATGTTATAGCTTGTTCCCGCCCACACAGTTTTTGCAACTTGCAGTGGCTAATAATGACAACAATAACCGTATTTTTGGTGGTATAATCGCTAAAAGCGCTCTAGCTGTCACCAAAAAATGTTTAAAAAGCTAAAACAGATAAACAAATTTTAATAGACGTATTGTTTCAGAAACTAGAGCCCATGGGAAGCTTTTTCCTTTAGGGCCTGCTTACATGAAGGTGGGGGATCCCAGATAGGTGAGGTAACCCCCTTAGGTGGGGTAAAAAAATAACCATCCTTTTATCTCAGCTATGTGTTTGATAGTGAATTCTCATGCAATGTTACAACCCCACCATCCCGGGGTGCACTTTCTCAAGATTCCTGAGTGATCGCTAAGCACGTAAACAAGAAAAATGCTGGCAAACCACGTGTTTTAGTGATTGATGCTCTTCTACACTCGCTTGCTTCTCTTGCTGCAAGCTCCAGTGCTGTCGCTTTCTGTTGTTACCTTTAATAATAATGCAAAGCTACCGCCAAAGTGAATTTTGCGCGAATTCAGTATCGCGAATCCGACCCCGGCTAGGAGGGTTACCCCACCTTGAAACGTTTACATGGCAAAACTTGATCCCGGCCTAGAGGGTTACCCGTCCTGGCAGACCCGGTTACCCGCCTTGGCGGGTCACCCCACCTATCATGTAAATGTGATCAAATTAAAATGAGAGATTATATGAACAGGCGGGTTACCCCACCTTAGCTGGTTACCTCATCTACCTGGCATGGGGTCCCCCACCTCCATGTAAACAGGCCCTTATTCGTTACCTCGGTTTTGTGGATGAAAAAAAACTAATTAAAGCTGTCGCTGGAGTTTTAATCAGGCTGCTATAAAAAATTGTTAAACAATAAAAGCAGAAACTATCGCTAAAAAAAATAATGATATAGAGAATAAAAAATATATTAACCCAAGCAAGGGAGAGGTGGATGCCACCCCCCTTCTGAGGGTTTTCTGAGTTTCTTTCCTAGACCATTAAGCTTCAGCTCCTGTTAATCACAAACAGTTGGCAATGCTCGCCGTTTTTTTTAACTGATCTCTAATTCTTGGTAGGCCAAGATGGCGAGCATGTTTGGTGACGTAGCAGGCCTCCAGCAGCGGAACAGCGCATAAAATATACTTCGTCTTGTCAAGAAGATCATAGGCTTTCCACTGAAGGCAAAATCTTTTCGAAATACTACAACATATAAATAACTCCAGAGAGGGGTTCCATCAACTCTTCCCCCCCCCACGCCCGATTGTACCACAGTGGGGGTATGACTTTGTATGTTCGTCCGAGGGTTAAATTTCCTTTCTTGAAAGCGTTTCCTTTTTTATCAGTTCAAATGGCTGCAATAAAAGTGAGAACTTAAGATATTATGCCAAATACCTGGTACTGAAAGAAAAAAAAAATTAATACTCAGAACCACCTGTTAAAATGGTTTAATTGATAAGACTAGAAGAAATTTTGTAAATTTCCGCAAATCTTATACCAAGGATCTAGATCTAGATGCCAGATCTAGACTGAGTTTTAGCTTCTTTCAAGAAACCGGAGAAAACTTCATTTTTGTCTTGTTCCCTCGGTAAGGTATATGCAAACATGTGTTTTGTCAGTAGTTCGGTTAATATAAAGACGTTCTTCATTTTCAATGCGTTAATAAGTTTCAGAAAAATTTTAATGTGGCAAAGAACCTGGACATTTGACGCAAAAATAATAAACATGGGAGCCTTTTTGACCTCTTGGTTAGTTCTTTCATTAGAATTTCTCTTGTAAGGACCTCTTGTCATTTTAAAAAAACAACCTTTTGCCTTTTAAACTGTGCGCTTAAATAGTCCTGGTTTTAAGTATTTTCACTGCTGTGTGCATAGTTGTAATTTTCTCTTTTGGGCATCTAATTCTTTAGAAGTATAGGGGCATCTTGGAGGCAAGAGCCAACATTTTTCAATATTCTGCCTACACCCCTGAATAAGTAGAGGCCTCAGATACATTTAATAGATGCTATTTCTAGAGTTTTGGTCTTTCTTTTTCTAGTCAAAAATGGAAACATGCAATTTAATAGCCCTGGGTGGGATATCGTTAAAATTTTATCAGTTGCAGAACTAGGGCACTGTACCCTGTCTGGACACTGCTGGCTGGGGTTGGGTATCTATGAAAAAAAATCACTGGCAGAATATTAATCACAACACTGAGGTTGCACATCTCTGAGTAACAGGGCGTTCCTGAACCATAACTGAGGTGAAATCGTGGAGGATTTTATTCTATTAACTTCGCCAAATAAGATAAGTGACACTACCAAAAAAAGTGTACATATATTTACGGGTGTACAGGAGGGAACACCGTAACAGCGAGCACCAATTACTGTGGCCCAAGACACAGATCGCTTAAAAAAAAAATGTAAAAACTGCAATACTATCTAAAAACAACAGGTGATGTCCCGTCTCAAATTATGGGCAGCATTACAGGTCAAGCATGTAGATTTGAAAGAGCGAGGGTAGTCAGGGATGTAGGAAGCGACAAGAGCTAGTTTGTAATAACCATGAAGGACAGCTTGAAAAGAACTTAAAGAGCATTCCATATTCTACTGATTCTGTTAAAAAAAAGCCATCTTTGAAAGGTTGTTGACTTACAGGACCTGATTAAAAATAAAGTGATATCCGGATTGCTAGTGTATCTAGTGGCTCTTATTGAAGCGCGTATCAGAGGAGTAACAGTTGGATTGAGTGTCATTGTGTGAGAAAGTGTTCCAGGGGCCAAAAGTTGTGGTCACTTGATTTGGCTGAAACTTGGGACATATGTTGGGTGTGATGAGACATTTCAAAAGCCACTTTGGCTCACTTCGCTGACTTTTAGCTTTGGAGTTCCATGCCCATGCGAGGTGCCATCCCCACCCACTCCCACAACCGGTAAAGGTTGGCCACACCACGAGGGTCTACCACCCCTACTCTTTTCGAATAGTGATGTGGGTTCTTTTACGTCCCAAAAGAACAAGTCAGTGAAAGTGCTGTGAGACGGGACCTACGGTTTTTCGGTTTTTAGACTAGAAAGTCTAACCATTTGCAGATGTCATTGCAAAGGCAGCACTTTCTTCTCAGTTATTTAAAAAACCTGAGTGTTGCTCCGGCGGGGGTTTGAACCGCTACCTGAGCTAACCAGGCGGCGGTTATAGCTATATTCTAGCTATATTCTCAGCGAACATCACCTCTGACTGAGTTGCCTTTCTCTGCGCAGTGATTGGCCCATCAACTACTTCTATTTCTTTGCCAATCAGTAGTGCCTACCCTGACGATCTCCTCTGCTATACATTTTTGGCAACTGAGTTAATAGCTTTTTCTCATAAGCCGGACGATTATTCGTTTTTTGCGGGTGTACAGTTTCCCCCTCTCTATTGGCTATTAACCTTCTGGTCACTCTCTCCTGTAGTCACTCTGACCAAATTCGACATCTTTTACTATGGACTGCTGGATTGAATGGAAAAGCATCATACTCCATCTGTTTCTGATCATAAGCGGAGCCCCTGGTCAATAGATGCCGCCGATGTGATGCATCCCAATGTAAGCTGCCAGGACAGACCACTGCTGCCATTCCATGATAATCTTTAGTCTCTTGGCGAGCAATGCGCCGACATCTCATGCCAGACTGCTGGTTTACACCTGAAGAAAACACAAATGGTTACTGTGGTGTTAAAAGCGGGTCACAAAATGTGTTCTCTGCCCTCAGTTGTTCCTGACTTTTCATCTTTTCTGCTACTAGTAGTCCGTCAGCTGCCCGGTGTCTCCTCTCAGGCAATGACGAAGTTTCGTTGTT